AGCGATGGCGTCACCAGTCAACATTTTGACGGCAACACCAAGCTGCTGGGCCTCGATGATAGTCTGGGCGGTATCCTCACGAGGAGGGTCGAACATAGAGAGTAGGCCGAGGAGGATCCAATCGCCGCCATTCTTCTGATAGGCGACTCCAAGGGAACGGAAACCACGTCGAGCGAAGTCAGTGGCCTTATTCTTGAATAGATCCGATGTTTCCTTGGAGCAATTTGTCAAATTCAGGATAGCTTTGGGAGCTCCCTTGGCGCAGATGTACTTGTCGTCATCAAGCGTGCAGACGGTGGTGATTCGCTTGGAGACAGGGTCGAAGGGTGTGAATTTTTGTGTCTGCCAGTTGCCCTTGAGGATGTCACGGGCTTTGGGATATCTCTTGAGGGTAAGAATAGTGACTTTGTCGATCGGGTCGAGCGACTTGATGTTATGCGAGGAGGCGAGAGCGGCGCAAGCCATCATCCAGTTGACATCTTGTCCTTCAGCGACAAAAGGCTCACGAATGGACAACTGATTTGCGGTCAATGTACCCGTCTTGTCAGAGCAGAGAACGTCGACACCGGCAAGAGACTCAATGGCGGTAAGCTTCTGAACTATGGCCTTTTGCTTGGCCAAGTAGGCAGCTCCGACGGCAAGGGTGGTGGTTGTAACGACGGGTAGACCAACTGGGACACCGACGATCAGAAGAATAAGCGCATAGTGCAGCAAGTTGGTGGAGGAATGCTCTGGAGTAGCAATCTTCAAGTTGTGGAAGAAACCGCCAATCCAAGAGAGGAGGATGAAGAAGACGACGAGGACGAGGAGCGCTGTTCCAATGGAGTTCATGATAGCCTTGAAGTGACCTTGATCTTTGGCGCCTTGAACAAGGCTGGCAGTTTTCCCGACGAAAGATTGGCGGGCGGATGTAAGAGCAATGGCATAGAACTTTCCACGCTTGCAACCAGTGGTATAGTATGCAATATCGCCCATGTACTTGTCAACAGCGAGGGATTCTCCAGTGATAGCAGATTGATCGACGGCAGTGAATGCGTGACCTCCACGTGGCTGTCTATCGATTTCCTCTTCGCCCTTCTTTCCATTGGCCTTTTCGTCGAGCTCTTCGTCATCACCGCCGAATTCATCACCACCTTCGGGATCGGAAGAGTTGTCGAATTCATCGGCTTCTTTCATGGCCAGATATTTTTGGAAGTCATCAGGCGAGTAGTAGTCACATATGACACGGACGTCGGCTGGAACGGTTTCACCTTCTTCGATAACGAGCTGAATACAGTTAGCCATGAATTGTATCGAGGAGAGGGAAGTGGCTCACAATATCACCGGGGACGATTTCACGAGCCTTGACCTCTTGCTCAGCTCCGTCGCGCACAACGGTTGCTTTCATGGCAATATCTCCTTTCAGAGACGCAACCACGTCGGCAGCCTGCTTTTCCTGATACCAACCAACGAAAGCGTTAAGAAGAAGAATACCGCAGATGACACCGAAATCGACCCAATCGCGAAGACCGGCCGCAAGGACGGCGGCAATTTCCATGGCTGTACGACTCGGTTAGCTGATGGGCTCGTGGTGTAAGGAAACCCTGTTTGCGCTTACTGTAGAGCACTGGACCAGTGAAGTAGCTGAGGAATTGTTTAAACAAATTGGTCTTTTCAGAAGTGAGCTCGTTCCAGCCAAACTTCTTGCGCCTGCTCTCCACCTCGCTGCTTGAAATACCCTTTCGGATATCTGCATTCAGCCACTCTTCAGGCACGACAGCAGTGTCGGCACCGGCGCCCGGTTCTCCATCTCCACTTGATTTCCAGAATTGCCATGCCTTCTTCTGGCTCTTCGCCTTCTTGTGCTTATCATCGTCACCTTCAAGTGCGGCTGCGCGAGGATCCCGGTAGCCTGTGATGTAGCGCTGCAAGGCTGTGTACTCGTCCAGGTCCTGGAGAGCTTTGGGATCCGAGAAACTCTTGAATCGAGCAGTCTCGGCAGTGGAATTGCCGCGTTCGACGTCCTTTTCAGGAACGTTGAACTTGAGGTGGTCGTTGCCAGTGGACGCCATGGCGAGTAAGCTGATTGAGGTGTTTCCAAGGGCGATTGGCGTTGGTGAGGGGAAGAGGTGAAGAGGGGAGCACTGCGGACAGCGGAAGACCTTTAGCTATTCGATCAAAGCGATATCGTCACATCCGTCAAAAGATAACGCAGGTGGGAGATGCGGGATTGGCGTGGCCGTCAAACTTCAGCTATTTGTTGGTGGGACGGTAGGATTATTATAAGGGTAAAACTGGCCACCGCACAACTGCTCTCCATTCCATTGTTGACGTCGGGAGGGGGAAAATCGCTCAACGCGCCGCTTGATCCGCGCTCCAGTGTTAATCTTAGAGGTGGTGACTCTGGCAGGCGTGCAGCACCCGACCTAGCTATGCGGCTTGCGACCTTGGTGGATGCGTGATCCGTCAACAGCTCCCCCCGCTACTAGCAGCTCCCTGCTCATCTCTGCACCTGGGCAGTCTGCACCGACTCGCGCCGACTGCCTTGATCTCGAGGTCAGGAGCGAATGATTTTCGAGCCGGTGGGCAGGACCACACTGGAGTGCGTGTGGGATTGTGGGAGCGCAGCAATGACGTTCCGAGATGATTGCCTTAGCGGGACGGCTGCTTACTGGTCGCAGGCGCTTTTCTTGCTTGGTAAAGCTTGCGGACGACTGGCCGACCCAAAGCTTGTATTGCTTAGCTGCATACCACTTGCTTGATTTTTCTGCTCCGAGCTGGATCGTGGTTGCGAGTCAGTCATGTGTGCGTACGTCTGTCACTGCAACGACTCCAGGTCCACGTATGTATGTATGTAGTAACAACGAATACTTGGCTGCCATTGAGTTGCGACGGCGAGGTCAGCAAAACACAGCATCCGAGTGCGCAGGCTTTGCACTTCGCAGTCATCAGTCAGACGGCATCGCGGACAATATGCCGCCCGAATCATCTCCATCCGGGAAGCGAATCACGCTTCTCCAATGGAAGGAATAGTCTTCTAGCTTAGGAACGGCACTAGGTCCAGCCCGCGTCGCTGACTCGCTGAGCGTCGTCGTTGAACAAGGCTGACAGATTGACACAGATAGCGTTGGCTCCGCTGTTCTCCGTCTGTCTGACCCGTTCCCGTTCATCCATCGTGGATTCGTCGTAGGTAATCTTGAGCGTGGCCCTCGGTTCCGTGAGAAGAATTGAGTTTTATTGCCGTACTTTCCGACCTTCTCCCATGCTGGTCCACGAGCTGACCGCCTGTGCACCGTTTGTGACTTCTGGCGGCGAAAGTGGTTGAGCGCTCGACTTCTTTCAGCTCGCGCATGGGGTTCCCTCGACTGAAATGGTTCCTTGATCTAGCCCCGGCACTTCACCACATTTCGGTCGTCTCGTCGGATCTGACAAAGCCCCGACTGACAAGCAAGTGCATTTGCCTCGCATGCACTCGCGATACGCGAGAACGGCATCTCGAACGCGGGATACCAATTCACGCACGTTGACGTGAAGCTTTTGTTCCTTCTGGGCTTGCAGGCGATTTGAATTACGGTTGTCATTTCTGCAGCAAATCGTTAAGATCTTCAATTCCACAATCTTTCGACAGTCATTCTTCGCAATTCCAAAAGCAATTTTCTGGGGTCTATCATTGACGGTTCTAGGAGATAACAGCAAACGCGCGATACGACGGCCAAGTTCTCGACAGCTTGGAAGCGCCAAGCGCATAAAACTGAGCATTATTACCGGCGCGCCATTGAGCGAATAGCACAATCATAAAGCATCCCACGCAAAGGGTCCATTTATGCAGAATTTTTCGCGCCGGTAGTTTCAAGACTCGTGGGAGCTTTCAAGACTGGAGGTGTCATCTTGGCGCTCAGTCTTGTCAAGAAGTTGAGAGGCAAGAGGACTTTGAGCTCTTGTCCTTTCGGATCATGCACCACAACCTGGATATCCTCGCAGAGATCCAACATGATGTATTGGCACTTTTTGCATAGGTTGATGCTTGCGCATTTGGTCTCCGAAAGCGCGACAATGTATCACAGATCTGTAGGGATCGGAGGTAGCCTCCCTCGTGCACGCGCTGCTCCAAAGGGCGCTGCTCTGTTCTACCAACACACCGTTCGTGAAGCGCGTGAGATTGGAGGCGGTGATGATTAGGTTATCCTCGGGAGTTGGTGTAGGCAGCGCACACCGTCTGGTAGACTTAGATCTTTCTCTTCGGCCATTCCATTGTCAACCGTCTTCAGTAGTTCTGTACTCACCCGCAACGGAATACCGAAATCCTGGGAGCTCACTCCCGAGGCTGTTAAGTGGGGCCGTCACTTCGAGATTCGCCGGTAACCAGAGCAGTTTTCATTGATTGATTTCCACCTGAACGTCAGAGTTTCTCTGTCAATCATACTCGTACAAGGATGGGTTTGCTGAGGCATTTGAATCTCGAGCGCGACGCGCAAGGCAATTGAGGCTCTGAGTGGGGTAAATCCAGTAATCTGTTAGGACCTGGGAAAAGGTCGTGATCATGCTTTCCTCATCATGAATAAGGTCATTAAGGTGCCCCTGCTTGCAGTCATAATCCTATAGTGTCATCCCGCTTACTCGAGCTGGAGGTCCCTCGTATGTCGCGAACATGATGAATCAGCATGGTGTGTCAATAATCGCCACGAGATTAGAAAACTCTGCCCCTCCCCGCTTTGACAGCTGTTGCGCACGCGACCCTGAGTCTGCAGAGTTCTGTGACACAACAAGCAAAAGGACACAATGTACCCTCAATTGAAGAGTCCACGATCATAACGAAGCTGCTCCTCTCACAATGGCATAGTACTGTCATCTAAAGTCTCAAACCAAGTCGGGAACAAAGTGACAGCAAAGCAAAATCCAAAAAGCCTTCAAAAATGTTGATAGACAAGTCCAGCTGTTCATCCGTTCTTCTTTTATCCCATACACCCCCAGCAAAACTCCAAAAAAGAAAGTCTACTGTTGATTAGATCAACCGTGGCAAATGTCTCCTGCGAGAATCGAACTCGCGGCCTTCGGATTACACATTCATAGAATGTTCACACAGAGTATGAGACCGACGTGATAACCGACTACCTGTGAAGCAGTTAGTATGCCGGAAGGCGAATGGAGATGAGCTTGAGCACTTACACCAAGGGGACTTTGTTGAGCTACAAGCGCGCACGCATAGATTATTATCGTGCACAATCTGTTCTGCAGAGAGAAAATCTTCGCGCCCTGGTATCCCAGGGCCAACCATGTGCGGTATTGCGGTCTCGCGGTCTCAACCTCCAGACCTACTCGCTCGTCCTACCGATTTTCGGGTTATCCGATGTTGGACCTCATGGCCAGACCAGTTCACGATCGTGATAGCGTCACCTCTACCGCCGAACACTCAGTCTTTCATAACGCGCGTAGGCTTTCCCGAGCCAAGTAGACTTTCTTGCTCCTATTCGGTCAAGATGCGGCGTTTGAAGTCCGCGGAATTGCCGTCGTTCCCACGTTGCAACCGAAGCGTGATTCCAGAACTTTCTGGATTCGTACTTTACTCCGCTCCCGGTCCTCGTTTGCACCGTTCAGATCCTCCCAACAATTATGAGCGCCAGTGTCGCATACTCCAATCACGAAGATTTACTTGAACATGTTCTTGCCCATCTGCAGACCATATGGGTCTTGCGATGCGTTGAGCTTGTCACAACCGTTCCATCTCACACTCCGCCGTTTGCTTCTTCTACACAATGAAGATTGCTCTCGAACGACCGTTCTCAACCCGAGAGAGACTGTGATGGGCTTGGAGGAAAGTGACACTCGATTATACCAGCAGGACGACAATGATGCACCTAGATGAACTCTTGCTTTCTATTGACTCCTCATCATCGAATGCTTAGATTTGGCAAGTCCATCAATTCGTCTGTAGATTCTAGTTCTGATCGAAAATATTCAATATTCGTATCAATTTTCTCCTCAAATGAAACTCCAAATCTCCAATCATATCTGGTATCGCGCGATACAATTTGAACCACCCACAGCTTCACATTAAACTTTTGATAATGGGTTGAACATGTAATATGACGTTGGATGGGCCAAGCTACCTAGCGTTTTTGACTACCAATTTCTATGGGCAAAAACCTCAAAATCGAGCTTATTCCCGGAGACCCTTCCGAATACCCCCTATCGAATGTGTCACTCATTGACAACAATACGACAGCTGTCCGACTACGGAATAGATTCCACAGAGCATCTCAAATCGCAGAACCCTTGCGAGTCCTGAATTTCGGCGCAGCAGATCAACAAGCATCTTGTCATGTTTGATCTACCCGGGATCGGGCCTTTACCAGATCGACACGAACAGCACGACAATCATCAGCCTCTATATATATGCAAGGAGAATCACATATACCTACACAAGAGAAGCTCCAAGAAAGTTCCAAGAAGAAAAAAGCATTCACATCTCTTGTCAACAGGACGAGATCGGGTCGATCGAAACCCTTCAAAGATTGCGGATTTGTTTTTCGATCAAGATTTCCAAGAATTATAAGACTTGGCTAGCGGCTACTTGCAAGACGCCAAGACAAAGGAAAACAACGAAGAAGATACGAGCGACTGGGAGGTTTCGAGATAAGCGGAGATACCGCCCGAGTTACGCTTCATGCTTTGTCGTCTCGCGAAACCCCGCGATTACGATCAGACATCACCAATTCATGATGGGATGATATCGCCTTCGGCGATCGGCTGTACCTCGGTGGGAACCACTGTTTTCCCGAACAGGGCATATCCAAGACATGCTCAAAACTTGGGTCCACAACAACTAAAGCAACCACCACCTTGTTGATGAGAAGTCATCGGTCATCGAGAGAGACAACGCGTCCCCATGAGCTGGCGCTGGAGCCGCCTGCCACTTGGACACCCAGAGACAGCTGGAGCCATATCCAGTTCTCCAGGAGAAGTACAATCGCGCGTCATCAATATCAGCAGCAGCAATAGCTGATCGGTGAAGAGCAACAAAGTCAAAGGACCAAGAACACACGGAAAAGGCATCCGTGAAGCCCCAGCGAGCGATGAGCTGATCCCTTTTGATGGACAAGTGATATTAACATACTGCTCCAGATTTATTCATCCCGTGAACGAATATCCATCACACAGCCATCTCTACCCCGTCTGTTCCGCACCACCTTGGATTTATCGCCATTACAACTCTCCGTAATCCCATATTTACTATATCAAAATCGTGGTATCATAGCGGCTTGAGTACTGATCCAGTATCCCCCAACTTCAACCAGCCAACCTGGATCATTCCTAAATCAATATCGATGTCCGTGGATTCTTGGGTATATTTTCTTCTAGTGTTACCGCAAGTTCACATACGGGATCGAAAAAGGCTACCGAAGCATCGACAGATACTCCTTGTTATCCTTCGTCTCCCCAAGAATAGGCAAAATCACAAGCCCAAGCAGAGAATTGAACAAACAAAAATAGAGTGTAATACAAACCGTGTATCGACACTCACATCACCCCATGAAACCCGCCATTCCTCCTTTTTGTCCTACTGTAGAAAAGAATACACCCGCAAACTCAAGTATCCATCACAACCACAACCAAGAAGATAAAGTCAAATCAGGCACCAAAGCAATAAAGCAAGATACACACTATCCACCCTTGAGAAAAATATGCATCCACCAAAACCTGGTATCTCCTCCCAACCAACCAACCAACCAACCAAGGAAATAGAATACCCATGAAAAACACCTCTCCCCCGAAAACGAAACCCCCATCAGCAACCCCAAAAACCAGGAGCGAAACCCCCAACAAACCCTTCACATGCCAGATTCAATCAAGAACAGTAAAGACCCAATCGAGTCCTTGCAAGAAAAGGTAGCCATCTGATAAGTGCAAGCAAAGTCCACGTCACAACTATCGATTCCCATCCCCTCCCCTCATCTCGTCCCGTTGAATCAAAAGTTAGGACAAGATAATGGCAAGAAGCAATGGGTACAGCTACTTCAAATATAAAATCTCCGGTCGTTGGATGGATTCCACAAAGTTCTTAGGTAGGTACTTGAAACTGGCACCACTTGATATTAGCACCTTTCCCACAACCAGTACTCCCCCTCTACTTCAAGCCCAAGAAAATTTCCCCCAATTTCCATAAATACAACCTCCTCCTCCACCTATATTCCAACTATCCATCCACGATACCTCATCCATCCCTCACTTTAACACAATCAACAAAAGACCCTGGCAATGAAAAGTGACGCCCAACAAGTGCAAGTGCAATCTCAACATAAACGTAGAATTCTCCTGTATGTAAAACCATCAACGACACATCCCAGAGATGTCTGATGTATCTACCTACAAAGGTCTCGCACTAAAGAAATCATCCACACATCTGCCAATCAATCAATCAATCAATCAATCAATCAATCAATCAATCAATCAATCAATCAATCAATCAATCAATCAATCAATCAATCAATCAATCAATCAATCAATCAATCAATCAATCAATCAATCAATCAATCAATCAATCAATCACAATCCATGCAAAGGCAAAGAAAGAGAAAATACATTCTACTCAACATCTTCGATTTCACCCGCAGCAGAATAATGGATGGCGGCGCTCCCATTACTCTCAAAGGAAAAAAGAACGCCGGGGCCATGCAATTGAAGTAAGTAAATAAGTAAGATACCCTTGTTGGAAAGCCCATGTGATCCATACATATGAGTGATGATTTCGTGAGGAACGGCCCCCGCCCCCTGTCGAAAAGTGCAGATGACGCCTCTGGTTCGAGTTCAAAGACCCAAATCATCCACAAACAAACATGAAAAGAAGGGAAAGAAATTTCTCTGCGCCCGACGTGTCTATTGCCGGCTATCAATCAAGGACCCCGCCTCCTCTTGCTGTCAGGTCCGTCGCCCTCTCCGCCACCTCTGTTCCGCTTGCGGTCCCTTCCACCACCGTCTCTCCTGTCCCTGTCATCCTTCCTATCTCCGCCTCGTCCACCTCTGGAGTCACCCATTGGAGGCGGTGGCGGTGGGGGAGTGGGAGGTCGCGGACCTTGACCGTCCCAAATAGCTGTCCCACGTCTCGGCGGCAGCTCATCAGGGCGTAAGGGACCACCACGAGCTTCATCCCGAGGACGATCAGAACGCCTGCCATCACCATGTCGACCGTCCCGCTCGCCACCACGAGAGTCGCGGGGCTCACGATCTCGGTCGTGATCGTTGTGACCTCCGCGACGACGACCGCTGCCGCCGTGAGATTCGCGGTCACGGTCACAGTCGCTTCCAGTCTTGTCACGGTCGCGGCGATCATCTGTATTAGATCTCGCGGGATCGTCACGTCTCGGCGGTTTGTCCGCGGTGTCGCGCCGAGGGCCTCTCGATCTGCTGCGGTGACGCCTGGAGCTTCTCTCGCTATCATGTCTGCCACTGCGTTGGCGTCCACCTCTGGTGTCCAATCGATCGTCGTGTCCACCACTTCCTGACGGGCTAGGCGCATCACTGCCTTCAGCAGCCACCTTGCTCATGCGGTCGGGCATAAGGTCAAGTCGTCCCCTGGAATCCACGTATGATGACTGCGCATCTTGTCTAGACGATGAATTGGACGTGGACTGTGTCATGATTGGCGATTGTGGTGCACTCTGCTGTTGAGAGCCTCCCAATCTGCCCGTAGACGCACGTCCACGAATCATAGGTCCCGTATCTTCGTTCGCTTGTCTTAAAGTACCGGTGAGATTTTGCATCAGTCTGTTCCCACGCTGTCCCGTTCCAGGTCCAGAAGGAGTGTTGGGATATCTGGCGGTAGGTGATGGAGCTGGCATGTTGCCAGTGCTAGGTGCGGGCCTACCGCTGCCACCTCGGGGTCCTTGTGGAGTGAAAGAAGATGCAGCATTGGTGCCTTGGCTCGGAGGCCCAGGTGGAAAGTTGGTGTGCAAATTTGGTGGTAGATTGCGAAGTCGGCTCGGGTGGATACTCGCCTGATCGGCTGCTGGCCCATGAGGCGCTGAAGCAGGAGGTCCAGCAGATGGTCCAGTTGGAGGTGCTCTGTCGTGGTTTGGAGAGGATGGAACAACGGGCGATGCCATTGAATCCATGCTTCGTGGACC